ATTACTCTCTCCATAGCCTGTAAAGATAAAAATTGCCAACAAAATCTTAGGTTGCTTTAGATCATATTAAACCAGAAATGTCAATTGTAGTTGCGCTTTGTTCCCTACTGAGAGCTGGGCTTTGTCTTTTTGCTGTTAAGATGTTTGCATTTGAAAAGTCAGTAAATACAAGACTTCAGCGATGGAGAGAGTTATTTATAGTTTATCAACCAGGCAGCTGCAGTGTTCACTGTATTTCTGAATGCAGTGGTTTTCAACCTGTGGTCCATGGACTTCTAGGGGCCAGAAGACAGTTTAAGGGATCCGTGAAAGATGACTATAATCTATCAAAAGTATGTGAATATGCACACTTAGAATTCAGAGGGGTCTGCACCTCCATTCAAAATTTTCAAAGGGGTCCACAAATGAAAAAAGGTTGAAAACCACTGTTTTAATGAATGAATATTAGTTTATCACAGTGTTGCAACAGTTCTGTGTATGGCAGCCAATTTTGTTGGAGTACAGAAAGACTTGCCTTGTCTAGTGTGTTAATGCTGCACTTAGTTAGCTCTCTGAGAGCCCTGAGTGGAAGCAGACAAAGTGATGGCGATCATTTTACAGATGGAGAACCTAAGCTAATGTCTTAAGAGCACAGTAGATGCCAATTTTGAAGCTGGGGATGGAGCCAAACAGTCTTGTCACAAGTCCTGTGTGTAGCTACTGCACCACACTATTTTTTGCATTGTTCCCTTCCTTCTGGCCATAAATCACATTGGTTGCTTAGTGGGGGGATTTTCCTCACTGCAGACTAGGAACAGATACACAGATGTAACCTGGAATTGGTCTGCTGCCCTCCCAGAGTATAAGGCAATGGTTCTCTACCTTTTCAGACTCAGTCTTCCGCCTTAGATTCAAGACAACTCTCAGAAAATGCCAGCTCTTAGCTTTCACCGATTTTCCTGAATACAGAAAAATAATAGCACAAAGAACTCAGACCACAACAGGGCAGAATGATTTTGATACTATGAAATCTCTTGAGTTTATCTTGTGAATCATGTATAGGTGTTTATGGGGATATAGGTTGTAGCCATGTTGGTCTAGATATCCCCTCTTCCTCAAGAGTATAGTGTTCATATACGTAAATGTGATAACTTTGCTGTGGCACCTTAGTTGAGAATCACTGATGTAAAACCTCTGCCTGTGTGCTTGAGTGCTGTTCAACCCCCTGTGACAAACCCTAGAAAGTTGTTGGGAGTAAGATCACAGATAAGGTGCAGATTTTAGGAAAAAACGAACACCAGCTTTCAGTATGTACTCTTGGTTTACATTGTTAAAATTACCTTCACAAAGAAGAATGTTCTCCATTTTTTTCATGGAAGCTGAGACTAGTCTGAACACTTCTGGATATTCACTTGGGTTTCTTCAGAAATTGGCATTGATGCTACCTTGAAGATCCTGTTGTGGAATTTAACAGCTTTGGCAGTGCCCAAGTCACTGTAAAACTGCATCCTTTCTGATTGCAGCATATACCTTATATAAAATAGTGCATGAAATTCAAATTCACCAGTGACAAGACAATAACAGAGGTGATCTAGGGCACCATGAGTTTTCAAAGTTGGCTAAGAGATGTTTTAAAGGGGGAGGACAGGTCAAAAAGTTGGTCAGAATCTTGCAAAAATATTTCAGCTTCCAGTGCTTAACTGAACTGCGCATCTGAGCTCTTTGGGGTTTAGCTCTTATGCAGAAGTATGCTTCATGTGTCCTGGTGGCCTAAGCTTTAGAAATGATTAAAGTAAATAAGGCCTGCAGATAGCTTTTGAAAATCAGGCCTAAAAGTGACCTAGTATGAAGGCATACTTTTTCAAATCACCACTAGATGTCACTGTGTATGGAGTATGAATGACAGATACTCAAAGAGGAAAGAAAAACATTTGGGAACAATACAGTGTCACAGAATCCTCATTATTAAGACAAGCAGATGGGAATTTCTAATATTTAAATCTTGTTTGTAAAGTGTCTAGCCCATTGTGCTGCCAAACCTAATTTTGCTTTTTGTCTCCATCACAGTATTGTGAATGTATTATTATTTACAGTCTAGTTGAGGAAAAAAAATCATAAGCTTTTGGTTCATGAACAGGGAAGTCTCCTTTTGCTAGGTTATAGAAGACTTTCCTTGCCATGATTGATTGTTGTATAACAGTGATTCAAGTGACATCAACCTTAAAAGAAAAGCTAGTTCAAGAAAATAATTTTTTCTAGCCTCTTATTTTTTTGGTAGCCATGCTTGTTTTAAAGCATTTTAAAACATATTCGCAATTCAATGCTGTGGATTTCACCAAGCACTTTTGAAACTTGTTGTATGTGTTCAAATATGAAGGTGAGTAAAGCTTTTTTTTCTTTTTGTCCTAAGATTGGTAGGTAAAGTAAAAAAGAAGGAGCTCTGAGGGCTTTTCCACCTTCTGTACAGAGAGAGACTTGCAAACCCTTTCATGCCTGCTTGCAAATGCAGGAAACTTTGCTTTCTACAGATTGCATCTGTTTTTTCAGGGTGACAGGGAGACCATTGTGTTTGCCTGCAGTGTTATTTGCTCACTATTGTTACCACAAGCCCAGCGATTGCCTTAGATTAACTGTTTTGTCTGGGTTTTTTTCTTTTACAGATGCTGAGCATAGCACTTTCAACTTATGTTGTGAACACTACTCACAGCAGTCTTCAGCACAAGCAGGGGCTGCCTGTAATTAATCAAATGGTCAGTTGGACAATTCTAGGTAAGATCTTCTATCCAAATCCAGTTTTCAAATAACTTTCAGGAAAATGTTGGGGGGAAGTGGTTGGGTCTCTGTTTTCACATTAAATCTTTCATTTTGTCCTTTGCTACATTTTTTTTCTGAATGTTTACCAAAACATTTAAATGTAACATGTCATCTTTCATCTTGCAAAAGCATTCTTTTTCTTTAATCTGTCAGTTGTTATTAAAAAACAAAACAGGTGCATTTCAGGGCTATTTTAGTAGATTTGTTTAAAGTGCTTTCAAGATTATAAATGTAAGGCCTCAATTGACAAGTAGTCTTTATATTCTGTTTTGAATATGTTGCATGTCTCTAATTTTGCTTTTGGGGGAAATAAATACACAAATGTTCTTTTTGCTGACTTGCAGTTAAAAAAAAAAAAGCAATCTGAGTCTGCATGCAAAAGAACTAACAAAGAAAACTGAAACACTGTTTCAGGAAAATGCCATCTGCTGTGATTCCAATTTTAATTGAAACATAGCAAGACATTTGGAGTGTACCCATGCTGCTTAGAGCTTCCTTAGAAAGGATTTTTAGTCTGCAAATAGTAATAAATATTAGCTATTAAAGGCCTGGGAACATTTTAAAGGAAAAAAACAACCCCAAACTAACTTTTTTATCTTTAAGAATTTATGATTATTTACCCTAAGCAGTTATAGTTATCAACAGGAGTATGAAATGTAGTACTTAGAAACCATTAGACTTTCTATTCGGAAAATGACTTTTGTAGTCATGTCTTTAATCAATTTTAGATATCAGTAGTTGTTTTGGCAGAGACGTATCCCAATTATTTGTTCTTGACAATGGTAATTTAGGAATGTAGGAATTGCTTTCAGAAGTAAATATATCCCATTTAAGGCTTGATAACAACCTTTTGCTGAAGTTCAAGAACAAACATTTAAACTTGGTTTAATATTAGAATGTTGACTTTTATCTGACTACTTGGTGTTTTGTAGGGCATGTGAATTCAGATATTGGTAGACTTGCTTGAATTTAAAAATGAGTTTATTTCTTAATAAACAAGCTTCTGTCTGCACAAATGGTAGCACATAAGATTAATACAACTAAGCAAGATTAAAGGGAACATGTTTCTTTTAGGGTTTGTTCTTGAACACTTCACCACAATACTATCCTGTTTTCCTCATACAATAAGACAACCCTGACTGCAGAAAGTAACTCCAGTCATTGGTGTCTACCTGCACAAATCTTAGTGAAAGGCTAGATGCCCAGCTTTCCCTCTTGTTTTGAATATTTTTACACAAAGGACTAAAGAGAAGACTTTTTCAAAATGGGAGTTGAGTTGAAGAGAGGACATAGATGCCTAGAATTTTTCCTCTTGTGCCCAGAGAAAGTTGGTAGAATTGGAACTTTAAATAAATAAATAAATAAATAAATAAATAAATAATACTTGGCAGAACTTGTGCCAGAGACCTGTTCAATATTATAGTAGTACCTTTGCCTTCGTATTTGAAGCAACCATTCCGTTCTATACGATGAAGTATTTGTGAGTGGGCTTGGGGGCCACGGGCTGCAGCAGTTAGTTGCTGTTTGTGTAGCAAATTTAAACCCAAGAGCGCAGGGCTGAAGTGTTAAGACCTCTAACAGGTCGTTATCACCTGTAGTCCTGAACCTGGCAACAGGTATGAAGCCATTAGTACACTTGCATGCACTGCAGCCTGTAGCAGGCTATCCAACTGGCAGCCCTGGGGCCTCATGTGGCCCACAAGGAGTTAATTTGTTACCCCAAACTCCCATACAGCCACTGCTCCCCTCATCACTGTGGATGCAGCCAAAGCCTGGGTCTCCAGGTTTCCCCTCCTTCCTCTGGCTTCTACTTCCTGCCCTTGCCCCAGGGGATGAAGTGGTACAGCGTGGCCCAGAGCTCCCACGGTGCATGGCAGGGGTGGGCAAAATGTGGCTGGGAGCCAGATGCGGCCCACCAGGTCATTCTATCCAGCCCGCGGGGCCCTGAAAAAATTTAGAAAATGAATATTTATCTGCCCTGGGCTGCCTGTCATGCAGTCCTTTATAGTAAGCGGCCCTCTGCCCAAAATAATCACCCGCCCTTGGTGCATGGTGTAGTGGGGGAACCCATGGCTGAGGAGGTAAAGGTGAGGTTGGGACCCCCACACAGCAGGCTGCCCAGGGAGCCCATGGCTTATGCTGGTGCAGCCCACGGAGCATGCAGTCAATGGGCATGTGGCTCCCAGCCACTTAAAGTTGGACAGCCCTGGCCTGTAAGATAGCAGCCTGAATTGTATGCCCTTTCTCAGACTTACTGGCACTGTGAATGCACCAGACTTCTCCCATTATCACTTCTGCACAATTTGGGCTCATTTAACTCTCCTTCTGAGAAGGTCACTGGCAGAATAACCCCCCTACTGGCTGAAATCTTACTTGAAGTACAAAGCAGAACCTAACCTTAACAATTGCTGATCCTCATAGATGTGTTTCATTCCCTACTTCTGCTTCTTTTGTAGCACATGATGTATTTGCCAATGAGTAGATCTGAAAGTGTGGAACTTTCTTGGAAAAAATGTTTGACTTAAGCCTACAATAAAATCTTAGCTCCTCAGGTGCCTTTTTTCAAGACTTGAATTAATGTTCTGTAAGTGGGGAAAAATGACATGGGTTACAGTAGTAGTCCAGGGTGAAGCTGTACCTTTTACTTGCTGTGTCTTCCAGTGGGTGCCCTTGTTCAGTGACAGGCATACACTTTTACTCCTGAGTGAAGTCCTGTGATCCACTCCTCTTCTAGATATGATTTACCAATCTTACTGGGTCCCCTGCTTACCAGCTGCTACTTTCAGCTGCTCTAACTGGATTTGGCATCTGCTCTCTCTGGGAGCCTGACATCAGTATGAATTCGCAAAGACCAGAATGGCTTTTTTAAAACAAGTGCTTATTGTTAGAGAGGGAGAGAGTAGCAAAGTTGCAAACACCTATGCAGAGAGTGCTTTCCCTGAATGTGTAGCCATTTTCACCAGTTTTTACATAGATCCCACTTAACTCCAAGCATTGGGGCTGTCTGCACTCTGACATTTGGACCTCTGGTCCATGTATATCTGTCGGGTCACAGGAGGCATCTACATATGTGCCCAACACCTGCTCCGATGCATACTAATAAGTATGTTCCAGCAGCCTCAGCGTCACGTGTATTCAGCAAATACAATCAGATGGGCTTTAATTGAAACACCCCTGCTGTCATTTTGAAGCACAGGACACTGAATACAGGAGGCACTGCAGGCACTTTAGTTAGAGCAGCTCCTGAGAGCCACTCTAATTCAAATGCCCCTTCCACTCTGGAGCATATCTAAAGATGCCAAGGTTGTCCTATATCCATTTTAGAGTTCCTTAGTCCAAGAGTTTCCCACCCAAGAACCCCTTGAAGTTTTGAGCAGAACTCCTGACCCAAGTCAAATTGGTGCATACATTTGTTCTGGGTGGGTCAAAAGTGTTTCCTGCCTCCTCCACCCTCCCCTTCCCCACTCTCCCCAAGAGCAGTTTCATTGCCTTGTACTCCTATGGATAATATGATCAAATAAGTCATTGCTGGGTTCTGGAAGACCTGCAGAGAGTTCCAGTTGGCAATAGCATTTGGAGTTATGTAATAGCAACTACATCACAGTCGTAAACATGCAGAGGTACACACAATAGCCATAAAGCAAATACAGATGTGTCCTCTGTTCCTTACAATTGCACTGTTTTAGTTAAGTTAAAGAAAAAATTATTTGTATTTTAACCCAAATTTTCACAATTGGTAAGAAATCTGCCTTAGCCACTTCTAAATTCTGAAGAAATATTTTAGTAGTTATAAATATTTCAAACAAACATACAAGAGGAATTGCAGAGGTCTGTAAGGCCCCTGCTACATGTTACATATATTACACAATTAACTGGTTAATTGCACAACAGATGTACACCAGCGTGCACGCAAAGATTGGCCACACATGCAAAGTAATTATCACAGAATGAACTGGTTAATCATGTAATAAATTTAGACTGGCTGCATGTGCAAAGTAGTTTTCACACCATAAAAAAAGTCCTTCCAGCTATACAAAGAGCTAGCTGGCTACAAAGTTAGTGCTTAAAAATGTGTAACAACTTTATAGCTGGTTTCTATTCAGCTTGAATTCAACATATAGGAGTGCCCTAAGAAATTTTCAGATCCATTAATGGCTAATATCTGATATAATGTCATGAATAGCAAGGTATGGGAGAGGGATTCTCTCCTGACTTAAGATCGTGAGTAGGAATGGTCATACCCGATGGGCTTAATGAGGACAGGTGCCGTGCTTATTTCCTTACCTCCAGCTCTGACGAGCAGCTTTCCTGCAACTCCCTCTTGTTCTGGGCCGCCTTTAAGCTTAAAATGCCATTAGATGTGATGAATAACTGGATTCAACATTTGGTAGTGGAATGTGGGGTTTTTTTTTCTCTCATGAAATTGTTTGGATGCTAACTTAAGTTCCCAAGATGAGACGCCTAAAATTGATTCAGCATGTGCCACTACTGGCTTCCTTAAAATGTTCTTGTTTATGCTCATGCAAGAGGGGAAATTTACATGTAAACAGCAACACTTTAATAATTGGATGCTTTCTGTAGCTCTTCCAAACTTTGGCAGATTTGTTGAACTAATATGAAAGAGAATAGAGTTAGTTTAGTAAATGTTATGGAAAACTTTGATTAGCTTGTTTAAAACAAACTTCAGGAAACTGGCAGGAGGAAGTATGGTCTAGAGTGAATGTTCATAAATATTTGCAAATAAATGCAACATTTTGTGTTCTTAATTAAGTAATAGAGTATGCATGTTTGTGGCAGTGACTTAGTTTCATGTTTATTGCAGCCTCCTCCTTGGTCGTGCCATTATTGAGCCCCACATTTCTCTTCCAGCGATTACTCAGCATACTGCTCTCCTTGATGTCAACCTATCTGCTCCTCAGCACTGGGTGGGTACCTACTTCTTACATTTTGATGTTTTATCTGAGACAAGATATATGTGCTGCTTGTATATGAAAATTTAAGAACTGTAAAAGTGTTTGATATTGCATAGCTTATCTTTTCCATCAGCAGCACTTCCTTCCCATAATCCTCCTGGTATTACACTCATTCCGTTTCTCCAGAGTGCCTAGTGCCTAAGCTGACAGAATGGTTTAGTTCTAGCCCCATGGAGTAGATGAATAGTGCGTGGTCAGTCCAAAGGCTGGATCTCGTATGGGGTCAGTCCATGGGCTAAATCCTGCACTACCCCAATCCAACTGTGCACTGCCCACTATCCCAATCTCTCACTGCCCCACGCTGCACTACCATGATCCAGCTCCATGCTGCCTGCCAACCAGATCTGCTCAAGCCAGCGTGATCTGGCATGCAGGGCCATGTTATCTGGCCTGCAGGGCTCCCCACAGGTCTGGAAATTTGGCAGTAGAAGTAATTAACACTGCTAGTTCTCTGCCACCAAATTTCCAGACCCTGGGGGAGCCCCACAAGCAAATAATACAGCTCCATGGGCTGGGGTTTCAGTACCCTGGGTTTAGTAATATGCAAACTTGCACCAAAATAAATTAATGTGCTTTTACATTTTTTTTTTGTTTTCTTGTCCAAGTTTTTGTGCAGGCTACTTCTTAAACACACTGCCCAGGCTACAAAGAAATAAAGGGGGTGTGTGTTGTTTAACATTACATCTCCCTTAAGAAGAGAGTGATGGCTAAATCTGTGTAGAACAGTGGGGGCTGACCTTTTTGGCAAGTGTGCCTCACGTTAGCCCCCCACACTCCAATCACCTTTCTTTGCCTTATCTGCTCTATCTGTCCTATCTTCTGCTGTGCTGCCTGTCCCCTCCCTGATCTGCCTCATGCCATACACAGAGTTGCTCGCAGCACAGCACTTGTGGGACCCATGTTGCAGGTTCCTCACTATTGGCATAGAGGGTTCTTAAAGAGATTATACCAAGACTTTTTGCATTTCAATCTCCAGTGGGTTTGCCGAGACCCAGGCCTTTTTCCAGTAAGCTAAGATGTCCATCTGCAGGATCTTGGCCACATTCCTCCATACATCTTTTCCTCTGTCATCTCAGTCCCGGGTTTGTGAGACCACGTGGGTCCAGTCTTTCATTTGTGGCTGCTTCTTGTCTGTTCTCAAACAGGCCTGAGAGAAGAGTACTATAGTACCCAAAAGCTTTCCTGTATGTACACCAACAATGCAGTTAGTCCAATAAAAATATCACGCACAAGAATTCTTGCTGCTTGCATAACTCCTGAACCATCATAGCAACATTACCTCAATGCTACTAGAAAAGTTCTGTTTCTGAACCCCCTAAAACCAGAACTATTTGGGTCCAGGCCTGAGAGGGCACTGAATGCTATCCTCAGTCTATACCAATCATATAGTTAGTCTAATAAAAGATGTCACCTGCAAGAATTCTTGCTTCTCACAAGCCTTTTTTAAGCATGTGTGAGATATGAGAAAGGGAGGTGAGGTTATATGTGAATTGCTTGAATTTTGTTTTGCTTTATTGGAAAATAAAACATTTTTCATTTGACAGATTAACACTGTTGGTTTTGACTAGTTTCCAAGGAAACACAGGCAGGGTTCAGCAGGACTCTGCATGGTTTTTTGCCAGCTCATCTTGTGAGCTGTTTCCTGGCACTGGTTCCAGTGGTGACCCCTACCACACACACTTCCCCAGAGTGAGGGACTTAAAGCTTTCTGGTTCCCTACAGTGGAGCTACAGGTCTAGGATCCTCAACTTAACACAAGGTTCATAAAGGTTCTGAACTAGTCTGTGTGAGGAAAGATTAATGCCTCCCACTCCAGTGGAGCAGACGAGGGAGGTCTCCAGCAGCTGCAGAGTTGGTGGTCTATCTCACCTAGCTATTAAAGACCTTCTGTGCGTAAGCTGCACCTACCCTGATCACAGAGCAGGTGATCCTGAAAGATCACAATGGCTAATTGTGGTGGCAACAGAGCAGATGAACCTATACAGTGCCCAGTCACTGTGGACCCGAAGGGAACAGTGTTTTCCATACCATTACCCTAAGCCATCAGATGCATGTTAAAAACTCCATTTGCTTCACTTTATAATATAAATGATATTTTTAATGCCAGTAGTATTGACTATGTAACTGTTGATTGTTATGGTGTAGAATTACAAGTATTCAACAAATGATTTTACTCTAGTTTGAAATTGCATTCCAGGGAGTGTATCTAATATCAATACTATATTATTGTTCATTTTATATATTTATTAATCCTTTGATGTTCCTTTTTTACTTCTAAAAAACTCAAAATATTTTTAAAAGCAACTAAAACTATTCTGAAGCACTATTTTTATTTTGAAAATGAAAAAAAGTATTAGTTTCCATGAATGCCACCGAAGACTTAACTATTGCTAATTGAATTTACATAGTTGGTAGTCAGATTTTGTGGTAGTGACTGGCAGTCATAACCACTAAAATTCTTTAAATCTACATTATTACTTTGAATGAAGAAGCTGTTGTTTTGCGGTTAGCTCCAGCTGATAAACTCAGGGATTTTGCACTATATATAAGTTCTTGTTAGCAATAGAATAATTACATCTCTTAATGATAGATGTCAAACTTGCATTAGGGTAGACTAAACTTTCATAACTGTGGAAATTATTTAATGTTATAAAATGTGATGTGGCCTTTTTATGATGTGACCCCCTGTCCATTGGCACCTGGAATGATATCACCAAGTGAATTTCATACAATGTTGGTCCCCAAGGAGTCACTGGATATAATTTCTAGGTGTTGCCTAATTAGGCTGGACTTTAAATACTGTCTTGGAAGCCAGATAGCTCTGGTTCTTCAGGAAGTGGAAGCCAAGTGAGCAGTTTCCCTGTGGGTTTTTTAAATTTTCTTTTTAATTTTTTAAGTCTAATTTCTTTTTAAAAATGTTATTTATGTATTTTCTTTTGTAAAACTCCATGCCAAAAGGAAAATCTGGGCTGTATATTTACAAACAATGGTGCAGCACCAGGAAAAAAAAAATAGCCAGAACAGAGGCAGTCCTCTTTTTTCCTACCCTACTGTGCATTATTTAATCCCCAGTCACTTGACCAAAGCCATTCAGGTTTTCTTAGAAATTGTGTGTTTATGGATTTCTGTGTTTTTTTCAAGCTCAGATAAAAAGTAGAATACATTTCAAAGTACCTATCTATGTATAATTGATATTTATTACAGTTTATTAAAACTAATTAATTATATTTGTCGATTAACTTTGCATTCAGATATGAAGCTCTCTTTCCATTGGTGTTGTCTGGGTTGATGTTTGCATGGATAAATATGGAACAAGAAGCCCTACAGTACTATGGTCTTTCACTCAAACCAAAGGTAACATCAGGATAGTTGCATTTACACTTAATCATACCAATATCTCAGTCTAATCTACTAGGAAAATAAACTTCCAAGTGATGGCTTTAGTTAAGTTTCAGCTTAATTTCCTTTAGGTACACTAGATTTTAAAAGTATCCTAAACATGTATTGTTGGACAGTCTGTTGTAAAACTCACTTTCTGTTCTTCTGAGTATGAACAGACGGTATTGGGTTCCTGTTTCTTAAGAAAACCTGAGAAAAGACTTATAAAATGTATTTAATGCATCTTTAAGTGCTTTTTTTAATGTAGCAATTTGGTATGATGATGTAGTGTAAATTCTAGGACTTCCTCTCAGACTAAGTTCAAAGTATATACAGATGTGATGTTCTCGCTTCTGCTGTTTAACAATACATCAGTGATGATCTAAGTCCATTCTAGTCACGCTGCCATTTTGCTTGTGGATTATTTTTGGATCCTTGAGTTAGTTAGAACCTAGGCACCTATTCCAGAGATATCCAGCTATTCCATGTCTTTGGCAATTGGCATAATACCAAGCCCTCCTTATTTCCCAGGAATGTATCACTGATGATAAAAGTAGAGATTTTTTGCAAGGATGCATAAGAATCTGCCAGTCTTTTAGAGGGGGAAAAGGTACAGCACTGAATTTTCTCTGCTTTTGTAATTTATCAGTAGTTAATCTAGCAGCAGCATGGTACCATGTTGAGCTACAAACTGGGAGAGCAGATTTTGGTGATTAATAAATTATTAGTCAGGAAGAACAGTCAGGGGGTGAAATTGCAGCAGAAGCATTTGCAAGAGCTGACCTAGCAATTATTGTATTTCTTTCTTATTTTTCTTACTTGTAGCCATGTCATTTTAAAACTTCAGATGCATCAATATTTACTGAGCTGAGGCTAACTATTAGAAATGAAAATGGGAAGTAATTGCTTTTTATTTACATAACTTAACAAGCTGAGGCTCCTATATATCATGCAGGTCTGCTTCATTAAGTCCTAAACAGTAGAAATGGAAGCACAGTATGAAAGATGCATGGTTAGAATTCTGCTTATGAGGCTATAATTGTGGCAGGATGTTATGAGTGAAGGGTGTTCAGTTCGGGGTTCACTTCATATTGGTAATCTAACAGAGGCCTAATTTCTTGACCTTTTTGGGTACCATACTGAAACATTTTATTTGTTTTTGCTTGAAGGATGGTATTAATTTTGGTTGAGGAAGTTTTGGTATTTGCTTGTAGTTTTGAGGCTTTTAAAGTCCCTTTTATAGTACGTATACACTCCAAAACAAATACAATAAAGAACATTATAATACTATATTTACTTGAAGTTAAGACAAGGTATTTTCCCCCAATCAGTATGGGGGGTGGGGGGAAGCATTTGGGTATAAGAAAACCTCATTAAATATGTTGTCTGTCATTAAACTGCTGCCAAATACAGCATGTGCTCAGTAATAGAAACCAACTATAAAGCTGATTAAATGCAGCCAACACTGAGTGTGGCTGTAAAATGCCCATATTGGGCAAACATATAGATGGGAACTTACCACAAGGGTAGGTTAGTACAGCTTATTTAAATATGATACAAGGTAATGTCCATTATGCTCAGTCTCACTCATTGTTGACTCTCTTTAAAATCACGGTGTCACTACATTGAATGTATTTTGACTTCCTTTTCACTTTCTTCCCATTTCCAGCAATTTGTTTGTTCACCAGCCTTCAATGTCTGGCAAATATCATGAAACAGGGACCCAAACAGTTCACCCAAAATCCTTCTGTCACCCTCTCTCTTAGCCTATTGCATATGATTAATGTGTCCCCATCCTCCATGAGATGAAGCTAGACCAGGTTGCTGTATGCCTCATCTGCATATACATTTTTAGAGGATCCCAGGACTCATGACAAGAACACCCTTTTCTAGTCATGAGTGGGGGCTAATTAGCACATGGTTCCTTTGTTGGGGCATGTATCAGGAGTACACACACATACTGAGCAGTGTTGAGCTATGAGGTCACTGTGACTTGAAATGCTGTTGGCTCTCTTGGGGCCCAGCCCAGTAAACTATAATAAATCACTAGCCTTTTGGCCTTGGGTTAATATGTATAATTTGTACTATAGGTATAAAAGTGCTGCTTGAAAGTGTGTTTATGGAGTGCCTGTGCTAAAACTTGCAGCAATTTCAAAAAAGGTAAAATGCATCAATCCTGGATGGACTAAGTCTGTGGGTACCTGTATAATTTGCCTATTTGCAAATTATTATAGGTGTGTTTATTTCAGAGTCAGTGTTTTCAAATTTACCCCTCTATTCCATGTGTTCAGGGAAAGCAGGGTGTGACAGCAAGGGAGAGGAAGGCCTGCAGTGAAAGAAGGTTGGGGGGCAGCGGGCTACCTGACCCCATCAGATTTCTTTTCCCTTCTGTAGCAGCGGGAGGGGGACAGAATCAATGCAAACTTCCAATACTTAGATTCTATACTTAGTAAATTATAACAAACTTATAAAATTTCCATATATAAAATCTAATTACAGGAGGTCATCATATAATAAGAGTCCTCCTCGTATTTGAGTAAATATGGTAATTAGATATGAATGAAAACGTTCAATTTGTGGTACAATAGCATTTTTATCCTGTGTATTTCATTACCTATATCTTTGTTTTATTGAAAAGAATTTCCTCCTGTTTTTTTAGAAGACTGGGAAATTGATCCCTACAACTGTACTCTTCCCTAGTAAGAAACGCTACATTTAAGAATCCAGCTTAGTTTTTTGCTGACAAGATTATTTTTAAGCAAAATACATTCAAGACATATCATACAAAACTTTTCCCTTTGACTTTTCCCAATGAAAGAGAATTAATGGACTTTTAAACTCTGAAGATTTTTCTTCCTTTGGTCAAATGGTATTCTATCAAGAGCAACATTTAAAAAAGAAAGAACCCCCCAGCCTTTTTGCATGCTTGTTCATGGCATACCTCGTTTCTCATTAATTTCAGTCCTTATTGCTCCAGGTGTTTTGTATTCATGTTTTCTGTGAATAGTTCACATTTTTTAAACAAATGCACACACCAAATTTTAGGATTAAAAAAGGAAAGGAGGACAATGATTGGGGTGCACCGATAAAGATTTTTTTTGCCGATACCGAGCCAATTATTAACCAGTCATATCGGCTGATACCAGTCTGATAACCAATTTACAGGAGTGCAGCTGGGCTGCGTGGAGAGGAGCGGCCTGTAGGTAAGTCTGGAGAGGGAAAGGGCATGGGAGAGGGAAGGGGCTTGTGGTGGGGGGGGGGCAGATTGAGGCACCCACAGTGAGGAAGGGAGTAGGGCTAGGGGCACTGCACAGCCAGGCAGCCAATAGGACACCGGGGCGGGGAGTGGGACAGAGCTGTGAGCAGCTTGTCCAGGGGGTGCAGCTCCTTGCAGTTACGTGCACCTCCAGCAGAGGTATGGGGAGGCATGTGCCCCCACCCTGATTTGTGCGTGGGGCGGACGTAGACTGCCTGCTCTGTGGGGGTGTTGGGCTTGGAGCAGGCAGGAGCAGGGCAGGCTCAACTATGCAGAGTGGGCAGGTGGTGGCAGGAGTTGCGGGGAGGGGCTAAAGCGAATTTTGGGGTGGCTGTAGCACCTTAAGCCCCTCCCCAGTGCTGCCTCTGCTCAGGGCACTCTGCTGCCTTTTCCCTCAGGAGCCCCACTCCAGATATGTGTTCCCTGCCCACCCCACAGCAGGGGCTCCTGGGGGAAAGGCATCTGAGTGAAGTGCTCCAAGAAGGGGAGGCACTTGGGGGGCTATAGCCACCCCAAAATTTGCCTTAGCCCCCTGTAGCCACCCCTCTAAGTGCTACTTCTCGCCACCTGGGCTGCTGCCACTTGCCCCACATAGTTGAGCCTGCCTGGCTCCCACCCGCAGCGCAGCCCCACAAGGAAGAAGCTGTTGCCACCCCTGTTCCTAATCATGGTCTACTCATGGGGGTAGGGGGCACACCCTGCCCCCCCGCCCCTGATTTCTGCTGCTGTCAGGAGTCCAAGCAGCTTGCATTGTGCTGCTGGCCAGGTCTGGAGCTTGGGCCACGAGAAGCGGCCTGAGCCCATGCCTGCCCCAGTGCCACCTCTG